ATAACCCTAGAATGTAACATGCTTACTCTTCTACCAAGATGAGACAAATATGTAGTGCAGCATAATATTTAATGATATTTTAATGTGGTTACAAGTATTGATATCTCTTGAATAACAGCTGGATCAGCTTTAATTAATATTTAAAGTCTTGAAATAGTTCTGTCCTTTTCATGATAAGTATCTATAGTTTTTCATTTGAGAGCTAAACCATAAATACAGGACACTCGGAATTGTGTCCATAGCATAATGAGTAGTGGATATCTTCACAAAATGGCAAATACTATGAGAATTTTCACCAAAGCAATGTCCATTCTGAGCGTCCTCTGGTCAGCACTGAGTCTGCAGCTCCACATCACATTTGCCTCTCTCCTTGGGAAGGGGAGCTGCAATGGACAGGAAATGCCCACTTTTTTACTTGGTTGAACTGTGAATCTTAATGATTAAGTAGGTTGTACATATTTCTGACACATTTTTTTCATGCAGATAACTTTGGGGTATCAAATTTCAGGTGTATAGAAGATTTGTGTGGCTTTATTTCCTGTGGCAAATTTTCAGAGTTAATATTTTCTTGGATGAAATGAACTATAATAATTTTCTTTATTCATATTTGGTTCATGGCACCTTGTGTTGAAATCTTTCCATGTTGGTGAAGTTCATGTTTGTTGTTTCACCTTCACGCTGACTAATATCATAACTCTTGTTAGAGATCATAATGGGAAAAATATCAATCAGCACTCTTTAGTGAGTATGGGAGGAATAATGACATTCTCATTCCAGGCTGGCCACACTTCCTTCCTTCCCTCATTCATTTGTTCAGTCTTTCTCCAGTGTATATTTATGGAGCATCAAATCTCTACTGGCCCTAATAGCAGCCACTCTGCATACCTCACAGGTTATAACTGAAATAGTTTATGTCCTCATGGAGCTTAAGATCAAGTGTAGAAACCACAAAACAAGTAAGTTAGTAACTAAAACCATGGTAAATATTGTAAAGTAAAAACAGCAACCAAATACGAATAGCTTTATAAGATCCATTAGGCTCCTGCTGTTGTCCTCCCTTATAAAATAGAAATCTGTGGGTTTCTTTCTTTCTTCCTTTTTTTTTTTCTTTTTGAGACTGAGTCTTGCTCTGTTGCCAGGCTAGAGTACAGTGGTGCAATCTCAGCTCACTCCCGGGTTCAAGTGATTCTCCTGCCTTAGCCTCCCAAGTAGCTGGGACTACAGACACATGCCACCAGAAATCTGTGGGGTTTTGGGAGTGTCTCTTTTATAGGGCAGTCTCCATCTTTCTGCCACTGAAAGAAAATGACAGTGTCATTTGTCACCTCAGGCACAGGAGCTGCATGTCCAGAGTGTGGCACCATCACAGGCTCTTGCGCTGCAAGTGCTTCCTGGTGGCTGGTGGCAGAGCTCAGAGAGGCACAAACGAGGGTGGAGGCAGGAGCATGGGGCCACCAAGTGCATGCCCTGAGGCTGATTCTAGATGCAGTGGGGAAAGCAGAGTGAGTGTGCTGGGGAGATGCGGGTGAGAGAGGTCTAGAGGAAGCTGCAGGAGTGCGGGATGGCAGGGGCGGGTGGATGAGAACTAGGTGAGCTGTGGGTGACAGGGAAGGAGAGATGCCATCATTGGCACTGGGATTATGGTGCTGCTGACCCTTAGACAAGGTCACAGGAGGTGGGACATGCTGGTAGGCCACATGGAGAGTCAGGTAGGCCTGTCAAGTTTCTGATGTCTCCAGTCCCTAGAGGTTTAGTTGCAGATACAGAGTCAACATTCAGCAGTAAGATCCCAGCTTTGAAGACAGACCCAGGTGTGATCATGAGGACAGGGGAGGAGAAGGCTGTGACAACAGATGAGAGCATGCAGGATTTCAGAGCAAGGGCAGGACACAGGCAGGGGAGGAAGAGCTTCAAGGAGACAGGAAGGGTCCCTATGTGCTGACCCCGATGCAGAGGGAAGGGGGAACTGTGGAGGGGACTCATCACATAACCAGATGCTCCAGGGAGTGAAGGAGACAGCAAGGTCATGCATTGTGGACCAGCATGCAAGCCCACTCAGCACTTTGCTCTAAAATGCTAAACCCTATAGTTTTGTTAGTTCCCACCAGCTGGAAAATCAGACACAGGGTATACAGAAATATGCAGTGAAACTTTATGATTGATGATGGCTCATTCTTTTAAGTCAAATTATCACAGATATTTAAAAAGTTGATACTTTCCACAATTGCTTAAGAATTTGAAATACCTAGGAGCATATTGACATTTAGACTCTTGTTCATTTGGGCAGGTTTCTCAGATTTATAATCATCGATGAGATAAACAATAAATAGCATGGAGTCTTTGCAAAACTCTCGGATAGCCTACAGTTCTGTAAACTCTGTTTCCTATGCCACGCTAGGCTGGTGAACATATAGGGTGACAGTGGTCACAGCACAGTGATTCTCCAGCTGGCTCTCCCACTCTAGGCAGCCCGCCTCACCCCTGAACTTCTGTGGAAGCTCCTGTTTCACCCAGGGGTCTCTCACATAAGCTTTCCCAGGAGCCCTGCTGCCCCTGCCTCCCTCTTAACCTATGGCTCAGGTGATGTCACTTGCTGCAATGATGTCCCAAAGGCAGCCACAGGCACCATGCCCATCGCAGCTCCATAGGAAGGCAGGCACCTCCCTCTGCTGGTGCCTCATAGGGACCTCCTTGCAGAGTCCTGTGGCGACACATTTGTGCTGAAGTCACCTTCCCTGAAGCCCCATCTTGTTCCTGTTAGTTCCTCAGTGTTGTGTCAGTTTACTGATCCTTCGCTCTACCACAGGCAGAGAGACCTAAGAATCGCTGAGGTTGAATTTTTTAACAAGCTTGTGAACTGTGATCTCCAAGTCAAAATTAATTTGAATTATAGAATTAAGTCATACATTTTTTCTTGCATGCTCACATCTGTGAACTGTGAATGTGGGAAAATGCTTGTCTGTCTATGCCACAGCTGTCTCTTTCTTTTCTCTCTCTCCTTCTCTCTCTTTTTTGCCCTTAACCTTTTATATAAGCACAAATACATACTCTTTCCTCCAAGATCATTTAAAAATCTTCTCAGCATGTAGTATACTTCAGTGTATGCTTTATCTTTTCCAAAAGTAACATATTTAATCAGTTAGCTTAAAAGAAAAGCAAGCAATTGTTTGCCAATACTGTATACGTGATTATTCAGCCAGTTCCTAATCAGAAAATGTTCACTGGAGATGTTTCAGATATAAAGTAAATTCAGACTAATACATGTCTGCGTATGTATTTTTTAAAACACAAATAGACTCCATGAGACTTTGATAGAAAGAGAAAAATGGAAAGTATTTTCTATCCAAGGTCTTTTGCAATTAATTGCTTGATAGGAGGCCTTGAAGTCAAAGATTCTTGACTACTTCTGATTCCAGAATAACATCTTAAACTCATTTTCTGTGTTTGTAAAATAAGAATTATGATGTTTTGAAACTCAGGATTGTGGAAGGTTTTATTCAGTCAGGACCTTCAGAATGATTCCAGGTACTTGCATGGATCTCTGAGGGGCTTCCAGAAGGCTGGATTCCATGCCTGAGATTTGCAGGCTGGCAGCAAGGGGTTGGGGACTGTAGCACAGGTCACCTGGGAGGGCAATGTGGGTTTCAAGTGTGTGTCCCCTCTACACAGAGGTGCTGGCCATGCTGTCCCCGCCACCCTCCCACTGGCATGCTGAGAAGACCCTACTCCGCACCCCTCATAGCTGGGAAGGCTGCGTGGTTCAGGGGTCGCTCACCCTCCAGCAGTGCTAGTGGTCAAGCATATAAATAAGTGCACAGAAACACCCAGGGAACAGAAAGCCTGGCGTGCAGAGGGCTTGAACAGATCAGAAATTGATGTTCAGAAGCATAGGAAAGAAGGTTTAGAGGACTCGAGTCCAAGAAAATCATCCCACAGAGCAAGCACTAGAAGGAAAGAAGACACTGTAGATAGAGAGGGAGGGAGAGGGAGGACAAGAAGGAGGAGGGGGCATCATTGTTGTCCTGGACATTTGAAGCTGACCATTGTGGGAAGTAGGAAAGTTCTTCTTTAAAGTTTCTTTCTTATTAGAGAATAAATCGTAACTGTGCTAATAACTCTTTGTTAAGCCATATCCTATGTAGCTGTTAGACATGACTTGATTACAGGCACATAGTATATTCTATGTCCCTGTACTTTAACCAAGGTATCTGTGCTGGACGTGCTCACAGGTATGTCCCAGCTCACATTCTATGTCCCTTTCTTATTCGGACTTCCTTTGTTTGCTCTCCCGTGCTTTTACCTTTTTAGAAAAGTTTCAAGTTATCAGCCAATCAGGTTGTAGTTTAGATTGTGTGGTCTGGCTCCAGCCAATGGAGATCAGACACAGCAGTGAGGACAACCAACCCTAAATGCATAAGGAATAAATATGTCTGTTCATTTGCTCATTGTACTCTCTGGCAAGATAGCTAGCAAGAGTGCCCTTCCTGCAGTCCAGGAATCAAAAGTTGCGTTGCTGAAAGATCCTTTGTCTCAGTGCAGATTTTTCTTTGCGGCACCGAACATCAGTTTCCAACACCCATGGTGTTGTGTTTTCCTCACCCTGCTGGGCAGCAATGTCAGCACCTCTGACACTAAGAATCTAAAATCGTCTTTTGAGGGTCTCTCTCTCTCCTGATGTCCTCCATGGGATGACAGGAAGCTTGCCACGTTGAGCTCTCCATCCCTAGACTTGGAACTGGAAGGGTCTAATCATAGATGATTAGTCCTCATCATTTGCTACATGAGTGCATCATTTTAAAAGATACTGGCGCCTAGCCCCCACATCAGTGCAGCTGACCTAACTGATCTGCAGTGGGGCCCAGGTGTACTGTTTTTGAAGGATGCTCAGATGGCTTTTCTGGCTGGAGATCCACGGCTGCCTACATGGCACTCTGTTTAACCAGGGATTGGTTTGTGACACCCTCTGACCTTGTTTCCTTCTCATCCTGTGGCCTTCGTAGATCACGGCACCATTAAGAAAGTGCGGGCACCCGTGAATCAGACCTCGAGCAGCTGTTTGCTGGAAGAGATTGAGCTCTTCCCCGAGAGGCGGAGGGAATCCATCAGGAGCTTGCAGATCCTGCACAGCCAGAGCGTCCTGTTCGTGGGCCTGCGGGAGCACGTGGTCAAGATCCCCCTGAAGAGGTGCCAGTTCTACCGTACACGCAGGTAGGGTGTCTCTGCAGTCAGGATGTACTGGTGTGTGTGTGAAGGGCCCACCAGAGAGAGCCTGGGGGGCTTCAGACACCCTGAAGCTGAATGGCCTCAGAGCTGTCCTTCATGCCTGGGAGAGTCCTGTGCCTAAGATGCAGAGCTTTTGTGAAAATAGATTCACAGTGATGAGAGCAACCCACCAGTTCTCCTCAGAGGAAGAGCCACATTATAATATCTGCAAGCAGTTGTCAGGGTTAAAATAAATTGTTCAGTGCCTTAGAATATTCAGTGATAATACTGGTATTTGGTGACTGTATTAATCTGTTAATCTGGCAAATTGGTTAATTCGGCACAAGCATATGTGTACATCTATATCTATCTATACATATATATTGGGGGGAGGCAGAGTCTCACTCTCTTGTCCAGGCTAAAGTATAGTGGTGTGATCTTGGCTCATTGCAACCCCTGGCTCCCAGGTTCAAGTGATTCTCGTACCTCAGCCTCCCGAGTAGCTGGGACTATAGGCATATGTCATGACACCTGGCTAATTTTTGTCTTTTTTGTAGAGACAGCGTTTCACCACATTGGCCAGGCTGGAGTTTTTGAACTCCTGACCTCAAAAATGATCTGCCCACCTCAGCCTCCCAACATTCTGGGACTACAGGCTTGAGCCACCACACCCAGCCTCAAGCTTGTATTTTATTTGAATATAGACATGATAAAAATATTATATAGCATACATCCTTCTTGACAAAAGCTCTTATGCTGATAATCCCTTGAGAAGAAGGAACAATTGATGTTGCTGCAGTGGCATCCACTTTCTGAGACACCCCCACACCGCTGTCCTTGGCACCAGCTCCCCTAGAGTGCTGCTTCTCTCCTGAGGCTGCAAAGAGGGTAGGGAGGGAGGCCTCCCAGGCACAGGAAACTGGGGTGTCATCGCATCTTCCCTCACCCTCGGGCCAGTCTTAGCTCCCGTGGGACATCCACGACTGACCACAGGTGGGTTTAAAGATTAATTGGGAAACATGTTGGCCCAGGTGCTTAGGAAATGGGTAAGTACTATATATATCGTACGCGTGACCAGCACTGCAATGTGCAGAATCGTGTATACACTCTGACCCTGAAAAAAGATTGCCCTTGGGGAAATCTTAATTTTAAATGCTCTTAGGTATCTTATTGAATTCCCGTCCCTACAGCAGGGTGTAATTAGAGATTTGGGGTAGAAATAGTCCTTTTTTATATGTCATTCACAAACATCTACCACACACGGGGCACTCTCTCTTAAAGCAAGGTGCCTAATGACACTGGCTTTGGGACTTAGAATTCGGGGTTCATGGTGCAAATCTGTTGTGCCTCACTGCAGCCTCCCCCTCCAGGGTTCGAGTGATTCTCCTGCCTCAGCCTCCCAAGTAGCTGGAATTACAGGCATCACCATGCCCGATGTTTGTATTTTTAATAGAGACAGGATTTCACTGTGTTGGCTAGGCTTGTCTCAAACTCCTGACCTCCAGTGATCCGCCTGCCTCTGCCTCCCAAAGTGCAGGTATCACAGGCACAAGCCACCACGGCCCGCAGCGTTGTTGCTATTTCTTGATCCAGGTCACAAAAGTATTTCAGAATTCACTTTCTCACCCAACATGTGTGAACTGCTGTAGAATCAAATAGGATAATGTATAGAGTACAAAATTTAAAGCAGTCTGCAAAGTGAGTATTATTAGATAGAAGGAAGGTTTTTATGTGTAACCACAATATGCCTTTCAAGGTGATTCTAGAAAATGAAGTCTATAATATAATGTCTCCTTTGAAATGAGAGAGCATTGAGGAATAATGCGAGAAACCTCCCAGCTAATCATAATGCTACCGTGAGCCTTAACAACAGCTAGTGATATTTATTAACTGCCATTCTTATATATGCCTGCTTCCTAAATTTAACCACTGGGTGCTTGAAATTTGTTCTGGTTTGTGTTTCCTGCAGAACTAGCTTAGGGAAGGAATTATTCTTACCTGGTTGCTGTTGGTTCCGTGGGTGACAGAGTTGGAGTCTGACCAACAGGATGTCATAGCTAGAATACATTTTTTTTTGAGACGAAGTCTCACTCTGTCACCCTGGCTGGAGTACAGTGACATAATCTTGGCTCACTATAACCTCCACCTCCCAGGTTGAAGTGATTCTCCTGCCTCAGCCTCCTGAGTAGCTGGTTACAGGCGCCTGCTACTACAGCCAGCTAATTTTTTTGTATTGTTAGTAGAGATGGAGTTTCACCATGTTGGCCAGGCTGGTCTCAAACTCATGATTTGCCCACTTTGGCTTCCCAAAGTGCTGGGATTACAGGTGTGAGCCACCGTGCCCAGTCACGATTTTTTTTTTTTTTTAACTAAAGCAATTTTAATCTCCTAGAAACATGCTTAAAGAAGTACACTAAATAGGAATAGGAAAACAATTGGTAAGAATTGGATACTAATTTCTCTACCAGTATACTTTCCATCATAGAATCTCAGTAATGCCATTTATCATTGGAAAACAGGTCTTATAAGTGAATCTTTGAGTATTTAAAAAGAGAAACTAAGCTTATCAAAATTACCTGTCTCCTTCAAAATCACATTTACATGTTTAATTTTCTTGAGTCTGTTTTTCAAAGACAATGCACGATGACATTTATTAAAATGTATATAAATGATAACTGCTACAATTTTACAAATTTATTTTATGTATCTGACACTGGGCTAGATTTTGTGAGATTTTGGTGGAATTACTATGTCAACCCTGAAAGTAAAGTAGCATACTATATCCACTGTTCAGATGAGGAAATGGCAACGCAGATTTTTGGTGTCCTGCTCAAGGTCACATAGCTACTGCAACATGAGACCTGGTGTCCTGCTCAAGGTCACATAGCTACTGCAACATGAGACCTGAGTCAAAGCCAAGACTGCCCTATGGCCATGATTGTATTACTGGTTCTTTCTGCCACACCTGGTACAATGAGGACCACCCATTCAGTGGTCAGATTTCAGCTGGAGGAGATGCTGGATTGCACTTTCCATATGTGCAACTGAGAGGCGGAGCTGGTTAGTACCTGGACAGGCAGAAGCCAGGTCTCATGGGAGATGCTCACCCCTCCTTCCTGTAAGCCTCGTCCTCATTCTGCTTGCTGTCAGATCAGGTAAACATGAAGGAGGTTTTGTATCTGTTTTTCCAAGGTTTTCTAAGATGAGTCTCCATTGTCTAGTTGTTCTCAAGGAGATCCTGGGACCTCAGGGGTGGGGGTAGGGAGTAGTGACAGAGCACCTGCCTATACTGATCACGGATGTGCTGCAACTGATCAGAATACAGCATTGTTCTTTGGAAAGTTATTTTCAAAGATCAATGTTTCAAAATTATATTTCAGTCAACTTTGACCTCAAATATGAGCAAAAAATTTTGATGTTAGCATTTTTTTTGGCACGGCCATTTAATAGATAGAGCGAGAAAGTCATGCAAAAGATAAAGCTAACTCATTGGAATTGGTGGTACTCTCTGGGGATTTAGAGTGCATGAGAAACTGTACTATTCATGCATATCCTTTTTTATTTTGGGCTTTATTGATCACATCTGTGTATAAGTTGCATAAAGTGAGTTCACATTCACTGATTCCTGAGGAATTCGGGGATCTAGGAAGGCTCGGATATGAGTACAGTGTATAACAGGAAGACAGGAAAGCTGACCCCATCCTGAGGGCCATGGCGCACACCTGGCTCACCGTCCAGTAACATCATGTAGTCTTTAAAGTGGGGAAAGGCTGGAAGTGGTGACTCACACCTGTAACCCCAGCACTTGTTGAGGCTGAGGCAGGAGGATTGATTGAGGCCAGGAATTCAAGACTAGCTTGGGCACCATGGTGAGGCCCATCTCTATAATAAATCAGTTAATTAATTAAGTGGAAAATGTCTCCGTAAAAAGGCGCAGGATGGAGCAGCCAAGAGCACCACTCACTGACTTCCGTCTGGTGTAATCACCAAAAGTGGTGTCAGAACCTGCTACCCTGTAGGGTTCCCACCTCCATACTTCAGGCGGAAAAGAGCAGCCACAGGACTTGTGCTCTAATCATCTTGTCTAGAAATCAGGCTGTTATTTTCTCCCACAAAAAAATATTATAGGCTTCCAAGTAGTATGACTGATTGTACCTCTTCAAGGCTAGGAATAGCAAGCTTAGAGATGTGGTGATGGGAGGCAGCTGATGTGGACTTTTAAAATTTAGTTTCTTTTCTTTTTGAGACATTGTTACCCAGGCTGGAGTGTAGTGGTGTGATAGTTCACTGCAACCTCTGCCTTCGGGGTTCAAGCAATTCTCCTGCCTCAGCCTCCCGAGTAGCTGGGACTACAGGTGTGCTCCAGCAGATCTGGCTAATTTTTGTATTTTTAGTAGAGATGGGGTTTCACCATGTTGGCCAGGTTGGTCACCTGAGGTCTCAAACTCCTCACCCCTAGTGATCCGCCCACCTCAGCCTCCCAAAGTGCTGAGATTATAGGCATAGGCCACCATGCCCAGCCCTGAGGTGGACTTTTAAAGACATTTTAAGGACTGTGCATTGAGTAGATCAGCAGGTTGGCAAACTTTCTTTGCCAGAGCCAGAGAGAAACTATTCTAGGCTACACAGGTGTCCAGTCTCTGTTGCAGCCACTCAGCTCTTCCCTTGCAGTGTGAAAGCAGCCACAGACCATAATGAATGGGTAGATGTGTGGGTCAAGCAAGGCTGATGTATTTGGTGAGAAAAGTGTGATCCACTTTTAGATCTAGACAGTTCATTACTGAGCCAAAGAAAGAGCAGAAAAGGAGTCAACTCGCCACATCCCTTGTCCTACAGGATGACATCAAAACAAAAAGGGCAGCCAGGCGCGGTGGCTCATATCAGTAATCTCATCACTTTGGGAGACAGAGTGGGCAGATCACTTGAGGTCAGGAGTTCGAGACCAGCTTGGCTAACATAGGAAACCCTTTCTCTATTAAAAATAACAAAAATTAGCTGGGCGTGGT